CCTTTCTCCCAGCCACACCGGGTCAGATGTCATGTTACTTTCTTTGTTTCCGGGATTTGCATGAGAGGCGTACCTCCCCGCCTCTCAATATCATATTGTCTCTATATAATCTCCTGAATGTGTTTCTTCTACGCTTCCTGATTCAAATCTGGACCCCTCGGGAGCCCGAATCGATTTGTAAACTGCAGAAAATAAATTAAAACCCTTTGAAGGAACTGTTCATCGCCTCCAGCCTTTATTTGGTTAACCAACATCCTCATCATCCGAAATTCAACGAACACGCGAGGAAGAAAAAGGCCCTCTTCCCCCAACAATATATATATATATATATATATATATATATATATGAAACTGTGCATTAATCAATACTCATGAAGGAGCTCCACACTTCAAAAAGATTGGCGACCACTCTTCTAAACAGTTCCCTGACCCGTCCGCTAATCCTTACTAGGGTAACGAGTGAACTGGGGCCTATCCCATCTGACTTTGAGTGAGAGGCGCGGTTCACTCTGGACTGGTAGCCAAGTCCGAGGCTAAGGGTTTATAATTTGGCCTTCATAAACTATTCCTCATGAACTGTATATATGGTCGCAGTATTCAAAATGCCAGATTATATTACATGATCTTTCACAACCAAAAATCGTTAACGAGTTGGAAGAGAAAGGAAGAGTTGAATAGATTCTCCGGCATTGCCTGCTGTCCTTTGATAAAGAATATCACTGTTTGGTTTCTTTACAATGTGTTTTCCAACTTCATTGCCGGCTAAATCCTTTCCATGAGCTTTTGGTTTGGCAGACTTGTGTTTACTTTGATCTGCCACTGGATTATGCCACATGAAATCCAACATTAAAAAAAAAATCTAATACCTCGAGAAGCTTAGGAGCTTTTCAAAGCCTCTTTGCCACATTTATTAAGAACTGAAGTGTGCTCTTAACAAGACTGGCTCTTGGTTTTTTTAGGCACATAAACAGAAAAACTTCAAAATGGCACTTGTGTGTAGAGTTTTTGCTGGTCTGTGACAGAGAGAGCCATTTGTTTTAAGCCTTAAAACAAACGGGAATCACTAGTACATAACAGGTAGCTTACCAGGATAAAAATAATCCGTTCTTGATTTCAAAAAAATTTTTTTTTTTTAGAAGAAGAATCATCTTTATTAATGATTTCAATTCACATCGTCCATTGAAGTGAAGGATATTCTGAACTAAACAAAAAATTGTTCAGGTTGTATTTAAGATGGTTTGTCTCTCATCAAACAAGCTTCATCAGGCTGTATGGTATTGGACCCAAGTACCGTATTTTCTGCACTATAAGGCTCTTTGAATTATAAGGGACACCTTCAATAAATGGCCTATTTTAAAATTGTTTCATACATAGGGTGCACTGCATTATAAGGTGCATAGAATAGAAGCTATAATAGTGGCAGCGGTTGAGCTATGCATCCACTAGGTGGTGCTACACCAAAGGAAATACAATTGAAATACAATACAGCTTTATTTATATTGAGACTTCACAACCACTGCAGCTGTAACAAAACCATGAGAACTTGTCACAAATACAGACATAAAACATATCAATACGAATGGCATTACAAAACAACAAATGAAAGACAAAAGTTAAGAAGACAACTGATTCAATGGAAAGGCACACAAACCTCGTGGGCTCACATCCACAAGGGGTTAAATATCCTAAGAAGTCTTGCTTGTCTCCTTCTTGCTTCGTTTCGTCAGTCGTTAACTATGCTTTGGTATTGTCTTCGTTTCATCATGGCAGAGCTCACAAAGTAGTTGTCTGTTTGAGTGTGTGTTGGCGAATGCACATGTCAGTTAGTGTTGGGCAAAACCCTTTTATGTTACACTTGGTTCCTGCTAATAATCACCACTTGATGGCATAGGAACACGAACAGGGAAACAACTCAATGGGAAATAGAAACAGCCTGTTACACCATATACAAGGTGAATCGGATTATACGGCGCACTGTCGGCTTTTGGGAAAATTGAATGCTTTTATGTGCACTTTATACTGCAAGAAATACTGCAATTATCATCTAAGGAAGAAGCATCACCCAAACAGGGATGGTTTTACTCGTTTGGGATTCAAATCAACAATCAAGAAGATGCAATGGACAGAGGATTCTTTCCAGCGCCAGTCATTTGGGTGTGATCAGAAATATCCTTTGGAAATACATTTGAAATATCTTGCACCACTGGAACGTTAGTTTGTTTTGCTTTTAAAGTATGCCTCATTTTTAAAGAACATGCATGGCGCTATGAGCAGCACAATTGAGACTGTACATTGCACTTATTAGTGGAGGTAATGTGATAGTGTGCGGGGGTCATCTCAATCGCTGGTAATATGAGATTTGTCATCATTTATGTCAATCGGAATGGAGTGAGTACAATCAAGGGCAATACCATGTCTCCACAGTCTGGGACAAAACTCCAAGATGATGCTTGGTCCACAGAGTGGTGTTTTTCAGAGACAACCTCCAGGATTTGGGAGAGCAAAGACTGAAGTATCCTGCCAACAGTCTTGAGCTCAACCCTACGAAACACTTGTGTGATCCTTTTAGAGGATTTGACCTAAACAATATCACTGGCTGACTTGCGATGACGAGGAGTCCAGGAGTGCAATCCCATCCCACGACAATTTGTGAAGAGGCTGATCACGCTTAATTGTGCTGTTCATCCAAAAAAATGCATGTTACAAATGTTTCAACATGCATCCATCTTTCCATTTTTCCTTTCTTTCTGTATCGTTCAGGGTCGCAGGGAATTCGAACTTATCCCCAGCTAACTTCAGGGAAAAAACAATCTCGCCAGAAAAATATAGGAAACATGTAGATACAGACAACCATTCACATTGTCATTTATGTGGATTCAGTGGAAACTCCTGTATGAGTCGGGTGAAAAAACCCCCATTACAGACAATGGGGCATAATTTCAAACGGCAACAAAGTGTCGTGGTATATTTGCCTGACTTCGGTGGAGGCAACGGGGGTTCAGTTACCGCTCAGCGAGGAGCACAAATGTGAGTGTAAAATGTTTACCGTCTCAATATATGTCCTGCGACAAGTCGTGGGTGTAGTACTGATTGTGTGTAGAGTAACTAGCTAAAGATGTCTGCCTCAAAGAGCTGTGGCTAATTTGGTTTTAAAATTCCACCCGATTAGATTCCACAGATTGGAAAATCTATGACAAAATATAAGGAAATGCATATCCTGTAAATTGTGACACAGGTATATCAATATTCAAACGGTACACTAACTGTCCACGTAATTTACCAGTATGTCTGAAAAGGTTTTACACTTTATAGCTCGAAATTAGCCAACATTTATTTGACTGGACTTGCAACACATGATCAACTATATTGATCACACCCTCTTGTAATCAGTATCTATTGAAACAGTAATTATTATAAAGTGTTGTCAGTACGATTGAGATGATAATATAAAGTTAAACTGTATCTGACAGGAAATGGCTCTCGCACTAAAAGATGCTGAGATGCTGATCCGAAGAGAAGAGTATCTCGGGGAAAGAGAGGGCGAAATGACAGAATGACAGGGAGATGGGGGGGGGGGGTGTAATCATTGGGGACATGGAGATTTGTTGAAGAACATAGGGCAAAGTAGGAAGGTTGCCCTTTGTCAAAGAACCTGTCCTTCAAGTATAGGCCTAAACTGACCATTCTTTTCTCTCACAGCATTGTGTCATTATTTACCTTTTTGGATATTAGGTACAAAATTGTGATGGTCCTAAACACTGACCACATGTTCTACCACAGGTGTCAAAGTCAAAGCCCGGGGGCCAAATCTGGCCCGCCACATCATTTTATGTGGCCCGCGAAAACAAATCAAGCATATCAAGTTCGATGATGCGTGCTAAAGTCTGAACTAAAAATTTCAAATTGCCATATGTAATCCACAATAACATTTTTGACTTCTGATTTTGAAACTAGTTACCGTATTTTCACGACCATTCGGCGCACCGTATTGTTGGGCGCAGTCTCAGTAACGGGTGCTATTTCTGTATTTGACAAATACACAAAACACACTGTATTATTGGGCGCAGCCAGGCATGGTAAAACATACGCCAGCTTAAACATACGGCATGCATGCACGCACACTAAAAACACTTTAGCTTGAAGCATACGGTAGCATGCATGCACGCTAAAACATACCAGGTATGTTAGCTTTAGGCATCCGGTAGCAGCTAAGACATACGGACACATGCTAAAAACACGTTTTTAAAAAGGCAACGGAAGCAAAACTGAGTTCGGTTGTACTTTATTTAGCCATTTTACAATGTACTCACGCGACTGGTACCTGCTAGGGGCGTGCCTTTAGTGTCCTCTTACACGCCTACCCTTCACTCATTGGCGACTGGTACTTGCTAGGGGCGTGCCTTTAGCGTCCTCTTACAGCCCACCCTTCACTCATTGGCGACTGGTACCTGCTAGGGACGTGCCTTTAGCGTCCTCTTACACGCCCACCCTTCACTCATTGGTGGACTTCCGCATGCCTGTCGTCACTCACGTCCGCCTTTTCTCTGGATAAACAGCGTGTCGGCCAGAAGTGCTCTCAGTCAGGCTTTGGAACTCGGCGCATACACTAGACGCTCCGCATTATAAGGCGTCCTGTCCATTTTGGAGAAAATTTAAGACTTTTAATGGCGCCTTATAGTCGTGAAAATACGGTAAATCATCAATTTGTTGTGCGCTGTGTATGTAATATGGGGAGGGGATTAAGCATGTATATGGTTTCCCCAAATTCATAACGGTCCTCCAAGGGAAACCGTAACTACAATGTGGCCCGCGACAAAAATGAACTTGACACCCCTGATCTACACCATCTGACCGATGGTGGATGGGTTTTGAACAGATCTCCTGCGATTAACAGGGGATCACTGTACAGTATGGACACATTTACAAGTAAAAACTAATGAACAATGTGATCCAATTTTAACAAGAAACATTTTAGCTGGCCAAAAAGGCTGAATAATATAACAGAAATCACAAGAACAATTACAAACTCCTCTCCTTGCCCCAAGTAGAGGAGTTTAAGTATTTTGGGGTCTTGTTCACGAGTGAGGGCAGGAGGGAGAGGGAGATTGACAGGTGAATCTGCTGTGATGTGGACTTTGTATCAGTCTGACGTGATGAAGAAGGAGTTGAGCCAAAAGGCGAAGCTATGGATTTACCGGTTGATCTATGTTCCGATCGTCACCAATGTTCACGAGCTATGGGTTGTGACCGAAAGAACGAGATCCCGGATACAAGTGGCCGAATTGAGTTTTCCCCGCAGGGTGTCCGGGCTCCCTTAGAGATAAGGTCGATCAATCAGTTTTATTAATGGGTTGATGATGGCATGCTGAAATGAATTTTAGAAAATAAAAAAGTGAGTTGCTTCAATAACTAGTGGTAACATGCCTACAGCCCTGAATTGATTGTTTCTCTTGAAATATTACTAAAATACATTTGAACAATGTGAGTGTTTGACAAAAATACAGTTCTCCTCAAGGCCATTAATTTAGTCTCCGCTTCCTCTTATTTGGCAGCCATAGCAACGACCATTTGCCTCAGATCTTTAATCACTAAATCTGCACAGTGGGTCATTATCAGATTATGGGATTATCCACTCCACGCTGAGAAATCAAACGGGCTGGGACCCAAATCACAGCAATACATTGCACTCAGCACTCCCTCTCTGTCACTAACACGAACACACATGCATGTGGACACACACACACACACACACACACACACACACACACACACACACACACACACACACACACACACACACACACGAACACACGGACATCCTCGTAAAAAGACTCATCAGACAAGTCGGGCTATGCAAGTACAGAGCATCAACTTCAATGAGTTGATTGGGAGCGCCAAACTTGAGCAAAAAGCTAATGTCTCATGGGACAGACAACTCCATTCAGCATTCTGCTTTGATGGCAACGTCTTTAGTGGAATGGACACACATTCGCCAGAAAGTCAATCCCATTAAATCAAGAGGGCATGAAGACCACATCACCGAAAAGCTTGAATTGGAATCGCAGGACTCGCCATTGATTATACATGACATGGGAAAAATTTAGCTAATGTTCTCCATTTCTGGAAGAGACATCCACTTGAAGCTGAGCAGTATCTGGAACAGTGATTTCCAACCACAGTTGGATAACGTTCTTTCCAATTACCAAAATGTCATTGGGAGAAAATGCACCATTCAAAATGAGTTGAGGTTACAGTGATGCACACCACTTTGGATCGTGCTGTGAAATGATTCCAATCAACATTTAAACCAAGCTTCTGCACAAAATGGCGACAATTTTGTGGAATTATTTATGGTGGTGAAAAACATTTTTGCTCAACAGATACCTATTTCAGTTCGAAGTAAGCCTCAAAAATCACAATGCGCATACAGTGTGATGATGTGGATGCTCGGGCATGAGAGCATGCCCTTTTTGTCAGGTTCCGTCTTGATTGGGTTTCAGCTCCAGCCAGAGTGAAGGGTGTTGCCCTCCTGCAGGCTCACCTGTGCCGCGTTTCCCCATCAAGCCTTGCTGTGTATTTAAGGACTGCCTCGCTTCCTGGTCATTGTTGGGTTATTGACCTTGCTCATTGTTGTGCTTCAAGAGATGTTTTTCTTGACCTTGCGACACTATTCATAGTCACTCTCGTTTTGATCATAGATCCTTGTGTTTTTGTTATTCTATTATTACGCTTGGTCATTGTTTTTGTTTTATTGGACCTTTGATATTTCGTTTGTGTATTCTCCGTGTTCTACTGAACCTTTGCAAGCGCTTTTTGTTTCATGCGTTGTTTTTCCGGACTCTTTGTGACCAGCGTTTATACTTTGTCGGTGCAATTTTCTGTAATAAATATTTTTGTTATAGCGCTTTGTCTGAGCCTGCATTTTTTTGGAATCCAAAAATATTATTCGGTTCGGTCTGAACTGAATAATATTGAACACTTTTGAACCCTTGGGGTCAGAGTTAAATTCCAGTGACCCCATGAATCAAATTATGAAATGAGAAAACATTTTCACTGATCTATGTTTACAAATTTGGAAGGCTAGGCCAAAAAAGGTTAGAGTATGGCAGAGTGATGTGTGCTTCAGTCACAGCAATGCTTTAGTGATAGCGCAAAAGTATAGAAATGATCAATTTACTGATGGGTCTACATTCTTACACTTTTTCCTTATCTATGATCATGAGCATTTTTAGTGGCCAAAAGAAATACGGTTGATGTCAGGACAGTTTTCTCCTCAGGATTTGGGGCTCTCCCCAAAGAGGAGCTATGAACCAAAAGTTCAGCTTCCAGGTGCCGGTCAGGTTTTATGGTTGTTAGGTTGTATATTACTGGAGTTTCTTTTCAGAAATGCAACCGAGTCATGAGTGAAGATTATTTACATCGACACACTTCCTTCCGTATCAGGTGGCCATTCCTGTTTTGTATTGTCAATGCATAGATTCTGCATTTTTAGCTTCGAGCAGGTAAAAATGATAATTGTCGACCTAATGGCTTGGCTAACATTAGCCCTAAATGGCCTGCTAACCGTGGAGAGCCGACACAATGCAGATTCGTCCCCTTATCAAGTCCCACTTCAAGTAGATCTTCTGTCTCCCTTACCTTAAAACTGGTTCACACACGCGCACACACACACACACGCACACACACACACACACACACACACACACACACACACACACACACACGACAAAATAATTAGCTCAACTTTAGCCCTGATTCTATGTCCTGAAAATCACGAGGATCATTGTAACGGCTCCAAAGATAATCGAATCATATATTCCTCCTGTGTGGTGTGTTCAGACTAATCTCGATCACTCGGAAAAACGTTTGGGCCAACACTTTGCATTGTTTTGGCCCAACCTCTCGCCGTGTGTTTGAACAAAAAAATTTTCTTTTTGTTGCTTTTTTTATATCGCCACTCCTTCCTCTTTGTCCTTTTTATTTTTGATTCCAGCTCTGGCCTTTCTGTGTGGAGTTTGCATGTTCTCTCCGTGCCTGCGTGGGTTTTTTCCAGGTACTCCGGTTTCCACCCACATTACAAAAGCATGCACTATAGGTTAATGGAATACTCTAAATTGTCCCTAGATGTAATTGTCAGCGCGGATCGTTGTTCATCTCTGTGTGCCCTACGATTGGCTGGCAACCGGTTCATTGTGTCCCCCGCCTACTCCCCGAAGACAGCTGGGACAGGCATCCAGCATCCCCCGTGCCCACTGTGCGGATAAAGCGGATCAGAAAATGGATGGATGGATGGATGGATGGATCTAGTAATTGTGAAAAATAACGATGACTACCTCACAGATTTCACAACGTAACCCCCCTGATAAACAAGGGGTTACTGTAATTTGCTCTGGAGGCACGTTCTGACATCACAAAAGCGCAGCTCTAGAATTGAACATTTTAAAATTCTCAGTGCCTTGTCATGGTGGCAAACATCCTCTTGTAGCATCGTGCCGCAATATGAAGAATCATTGTCAATACGATGAACCATACAAACTATTACATGGTGACTGGGAAGGTACACCATGAAAAATGAAAGCAACTAGAACCTAAATGGTCAGCCCCCATGCACCTTCGCCTCAATCTGGCCCTCTCTGAAAAAGTTTTAGAGACCCTTGACATCCAAAATTAATGGGTATGTCGATGGTGCACTGCATGTTGCCAATTGCAATGTGAAAACACCTTAACACCTGCCAACCCGCCAAATGCGAGTGAATTACAACTGCGGTGGGTGACAACACCACTTCCACAGCCACTTTGGCGGGTTGTATTTTTAATTGAACTGCATACCAACATTGGCCGATGCTACTCACAATAATGGTGTTGATTTTTTTTTCAGCTTTGTTTTTCTTTTGAAACTGCCTCACTAGCCTCCCGCTGATGCAACTGTTGTCTGCCTTCTGTACTTGCGCCGTCGTGGTATTCTGTGATGATACACGTGCACTTTTGTGGCAATCTAGTTTGGCCACGATGAAACAATAAAAGCTGTGGGTAACTGTATCCTGATACAGTTGTATTACTTTGCTAACTGGAGTTAGCTAACTGGAGTTAGCCAAGTACCTCAAAAGTGTGAGCATTTCACTAAAAATACTGAAAACGATTTTAATGCAAAACCAGTGAGACAGAATTTGCCTTTCATGGCAACACGGCAGTGATTTACGAGCATATTAAAACACACGCCTGTTGTGGCTGATTCCATTTCTGATATCTCAGTCAGCTATTGGGCTATTTAGTGACACTTATAGTGGTGTGCTTCCATACATAATTAATGCAGTTCAGGCAGTTGGCCGTGAATACGTGCCGGGTGCTGCGAGTGAAGCGTTTGAAGTGAAAAATCTGATTCTTTGCCCATTTTGCTGGAGTTTGCAAATGTGAAGGAGTATAGCGTCGCTAGTAGCCAATTGGTGTTGAGAATGTACTTACTACGGCAAAAGTAGCATTAGCACAAGCACAGACAGACACACCCAGCATATCCATCCATTTTCTGATCTGCTTTATCCTCACAAGGGTCGCAAGGCGTGCTGGAGCCTATCCCAGCTGTCTTCGGGCAGTAGGCGGGGGACACCCTGAACTGGTTGCCAGCCAATTGCAGGGCACACAGACATGAACAACCATCCACGCTGACAATCACACATAGGGACAATTTAGTGTGTTCCATTAACCTGCCATGCATGTTTTGGGAATGTGGGAGGAAACCGGAGTGTGTTGTGTGTATTAACTTGTTTACAGCTGTTGAACTGTCAATCAAGATACAATTTAGCTGCAAAAGCAGCACAACCACAGGCCAACAGATTAACTAATGATGTTCAACCTGTTTTTTTTTTTTTCTGTCAGAGGAGAATCACCTGCTCTTCCCCGCTTGAAGCAACCCCCGTAGTTCCTCCAGGGCTTTAGACCAGGGCCTTGCTGATGCAATAAACTACAATTTACATGTGATCCGATTAGTCGACTAATCATGAAAATAATCAGTGACGAGTCAATTATCAAAATCATTTGTGGTAGCCCTAACTGCAATGGGGAAGCAATACAATTACTGCAAGCTTATTAGTCAGTTAAATGTCACTTGAGACCGAAGAATAATTAAGGATAACCAAAGCCAAAAAAATAAAAATAAAATAAAAAAATTAAAAAACATGGACAGCATATGCTTCAACCTATGTTTTAATATTCACATCTCATTCATCTGAGGGTGGATTTTGGTGGTTGAATGAGGCACGTCCTGATAACACAATGTTGCAAAGAGATAATGATACTGAGGCCAGTTGACTTAATGAGATCACATTGTTTTCCTCCGTCGCAGCAAAACTAAAGAGAGAACCACCACAGGCCTGAATTTCAAAGGACACTCGTGGAGTAAATAGCCTGTCAAGTCAAGGTGCATCCAATCACATCGCTCCCTGCCTTTGGTCATTTTGATGCAGAGAAAATCAGTTGAAGCGCTCACATCAGTTGAATTGATTTGCTTTTTATTTTTTATTTTTACAATAGGTAAATCACTGAGAATGTCACTACTTCCGTGTGATCACATTTATTAAAATTACCCCAAACAAGATTTTCCACACGAACTACTGTTTAAAAACAAATTGAAATCTGTTTATGGGCAATTTAAAAGTCATGTGGTAGTTTGAGCTCTTAGTGAAATGGATGGACTAACTTGGACACTTTATAGTGAGCAGTAGTGTCAATTTCATTGGGTCAGAAATTCACTCTGACACCCTAAAACCACTCTGAAAGTGTCACGGACGTGGTGGTGGAGGACCCCAAAAAGCAGGCAAGAGGGAGGAGCAGGGTGAACTTGACAAACTGTATTAACAAAATACTGAGAAAACTAAGTCCAGAACAAACAAAGTCCTGGAAACAACAAGAATCCAAAGTAACAACGAAACTCATGGAAAAAACAGGACGTGATAAACACAAACCAACAAAAGCAATGACAGCAACAGAAACAGCAAAGCAAAGCTAGCGGAATTATAGTCAGCTTGCCGGGTCCATACGCGGAGTTGCTGCTGGCTAGCTTGCACCCTGCTCAGTAGCTTGCACGCTTCCTTTCTGCTGTCTCCCGCAGGGTATTTTGACGCGAACGTACTGGCGCGTGTCAAAGTGCCGCTTTACATTTGACCGTTTCATCGATGGTATTTTCTCATTGCAAATTAGATACACCACAGAACCTGTTTTCTCCACAAAGGCAAATCCTTTGGTCCATTCGTCCTGAAGTGTACCTTACTCGTCATATTTTTTTACTTTTCACCATCTTATTCATTGAAGGATTAGCTTTGAGCTAATGACCGAGTGGGCTGATTCAAAAGGGGGCGTTTACCTGTTTACCCAGCAATGGCCAACGTAGGCCAGTATCATCCAATTAAAATTGCTCCTGCCTCTAACTGCAACCCTGAACAGGACATGAGCAGTGAAAAATTGATGGATGGATTAAACAAGCGAGAATATTTTGTTTTATCTGGGATCATCAAAAGAGCCACACCTGGCTCACGTGCCATAGGTTCCTGACCCCTGGTGTAACCTGATAACACGATAAGATGTCCACTGTAGTAACCGCTGTCCCTGAAAGGGTTAACTATAAAATAAGTGCAAAGTTGGGACCACTAGACCCCTTACATCTTTTCAATGCTCATTAAGCAGAAGGTCTTGCGTGATTTCACACAAGTGTGGCATTAGCTTTGGATTTTTTGTGAGGCATAAAATAAATAAATAAAAATGCCCAAACTCCTCATTGTAATTCAAAATTAGGATTTTCAGAGATGAGAGTCATCAGGTAAAGTCTTGTTGGCAATTATTTGTAAGAGATGCGATGCAATCCAGCCCCCAAACATGAGCAGGAATGACCAAACACACACCTTAGGTGTTCTTTTGATAATCCTGACTGACCCGGCCATAGCGGTCCACTCAGCACACATGTTCAGTGCATTTAGCTGACTGTGTCAATCCCCTTGGAAAGAATGTGAGCCCAAACTGAAGTCACCATTTTACGACTGCTTTCCAGTTCATATAATTAGACTTTCACACACGTGGACGTATGTTTTTTTTATTTTATTTAAAAATGGTCATTTTTGTTGATTACAAAAATAATTATTATTACAGTACAATAATTATTATTGGGGGAAAACAGCAGTTATTAATGGCCACAGAATTAAACAGAAATAAACATATCCTGACCTCATAGACATTTTACCAATAAAGCATTTTCAACGGTCCTGGGGGGGAAAACATGACAGAGATGACACCAATAATGACAGGATGACAACAAATGAGAAATAAATAATCCAACGTTAATCCAACACATCAAGTCAGTCATTATAAAACCAGCACCACATTAATCATGCCTGTAAGAGCTGCCCCTCAACATATCCTAGCCAATTGCATTACTTCCATCATATTCGAATCAACATCGTTTGCAAGTGTCCAAGGTTATACCAGCTTTTACATACCAGTAAATAAGCGACAGTCCATTGAAATTCTCGAACTCTCTCCCCCTCTGTTTCAGCAGAGACATCATCGGAGGAACAAAATATGGTCCCGGTGTGCCGCTGTGGGCCAAATTTTAGGGTAAACACGCGGCGGAGACATGCATCATCTCTCTCTTGCGCATCAATGCTGACTGCGTGGAAGTGTCACCACTCATTCCCCTTGGAATCAATGAGATGGAAAGTGCAGCCCAATAACAGGATGCTCAATGTGAAAACCACACACACACATTTGCCACGGTAGAGGTGACTGAGGGTTCAGTGGTGCCGCTTTTAGTATTCCGTTAATCTGCATAAGATAATTCATAGGTATCCTGCAAGATGCTTTGAAGCTACGACACACATTTTGTTGTTGCCATTTGAAACTTGATCTTAGGTTGGTGGGCTCAATAACCTATAGATATAACGGCATTGCTCAATGGTAGAGTGGTTGTCTCCCAACTCTGAGCTTGTGGGTACAATCCCCGGCCCATGTTGAAGTGTCCTTGAGCAAGATACTGAACCCCAGTTGCTTCTAATGCTGCACTATCAGCAGGTAAATGCGAAGTCACTGTGAAGCTCTTTGAGTGCTTTATTGGGTGGAAAAGTGCTATACAAGTGAAAGACCAAGACCTTAAGTTTTCAAAGAGTGTTATTAAGAGATAATAGTTTATAAACTGGTTAACATTTTTAACACACAAGATTAAAAACACACCCGGACACGAGTCCGATCTCTCCCTATTTTCCTCTCCTTACTCTCCCAAGCCTGCGACTGATAAGGTCTTGGCCTTCCAGCTGCAGGTGCAATGTCAAAGTCTTTGCTGTATTCATGTTGAATCTTGAGAAATGTTGTACTGTGCTTATAAATGCACGCTACATGTGCTGAAATTTTTTATTCTCTGGCTCCAACCATCCTCCAATTGAGAAGATTGGTTGGAGTCTTTCGTTTTTTTCCCCTCCTCTTCCCAACTGTTTTCCTTTCACATCTCAGATATCGGGGCACTAAACAGCAACCTGCCAGGCTTCTCATTTGGTCTCCCCTTTGTTGGTTATTGCTGTCTTGTCTATTTTCCTCTGGACGTGTTGTAACTGCGAAGTAAATTCCTTGTGTGTTTCTTACATACTTGGCTAATAAATCTGACACTGATGCTAATTCTTTGACAATAAAACTCTGTATTTGGAGTTGAGCAGGAGGTTTGCAAGTCTGCTTCACAGTCAAAAAGTTCTTGGTTCTTATCTCAGCTTAGACCAGTGTTTCTCAAATAGTGGGGCGCGCCCCCCTGGGGGGGCGCGAGGCTCCGTCAAGGGGGGGGGGCGTTTGACCTCGGGGAACATGCTTTTTTATTTTTTTACTGTCCTAAAATAACGTGCAGTTGCACCTCCACTACGTTAGGGGGCAGTAGCGCTCTCATTGGCAGAGTTTGCGCAGGGAGCATTCTCAAGGAGGAAATATGACGAAGCCTATGTAGCGCTTGGCTTCAATGTGACTTCGATGGCAGACGAGGCAAGATCGATGTGCTTACTGTGTCTAAAAATTTTGGTAGCGGACAGCATGAAGCCAAATAAATTAAGGCGTCACTTAAAGACATTACACCCCAATCACACTGATAAACTGCTTAAGTTTTTTTCTGTGAAAACGTGCCGAATATTGCCAACAATCATGCCGCTTTGTGGCTGCTACTTCAGTAAACTAAAATACAGGTCCCGGCTACACATTGAGCAGGAGCCGAGAGTTGCTGTGTCCTGCTTCAAACCTCGCTTCGAAAAGCTGTGCATTGCAAAACGTGCTCATTGTAGCCATTAATCCAGACATCATCTTTGATTAAAAAAAAAAAAAAGCACAAATTCTTTTATCTATTTTTTTTTGCTGGTTAAAGTTTTTTTAATATTGTGCTCCTGAGATAATGTTGGTGATTAGTTTGAATACATTATTAGTTATTGATTTTATGTAATTTTATTTTTCAGTATCGTATGGTTTGACATGGTCAGTCAAAAAATATTTATTGTTAAATTAAGGATTTAATGTTATTTATGAATTTCAGATGCACTTTAAATCTTTTCTGTTCCAGTTACTAAAGCTATTCTTTGTTGTAAATTGGTCCATATTCCTTTTTTTATTCTCTTATACGTTAATAAGGATACAATGTTATGCAAAGGTGTACTTAAAACAATTTTATAGACAAATGATACTATTTATAGTCGGGGGGCGAGATGTTTTCCTCTTCCTTGGTGGGGCATGACAGAAAATAATTGAGAACCACTGGCTTAGACCATTCCGTTTAGACTTGGTATGTTCTGTGGGGTTTGTGTGTGAGCTTTCTTCGGATACGCCTTTTTCCACCCATTTTCCAAAAACATGTGTGTTACGTCCATTGAAGACACTTACTTGCCCATTGGTGTGAATGTGAAACTGTACAGACAAAATGTAAATTGCTTTTGACAGAAAATGAGTGGCAAATTTTTCACTTTCATTTTTAGTGGTTATTTGCAAGGGACAATGCACACTGGTGGATGGGGCGCGAAGGACAGGACATGAACAGTGGTACAATTACCTTCATAAATGTGTTAGTATACAGCAGTGGCGGGCGGTGAGTTTTTGACCTGGGCCTTCAACGGGATATTTAGTGATCTCATCCACCTTTTAATAACGCCATAACGTTACGATCATGATGGCTACATTCACACTGCAGAATATGTTACTAAACTCTTCCTTAAAGCACCCAGATTCACAGACAGTTGTCTCCCTTCCAAGCACTCTAGCAGAAGAACCGACGATTTCAGTGGTGTGTGTAAGGTCGACGCATGCACTTAAGGTCCCGAGGGTGTTGCACAGAATAATATGTGCATCGCACAATCTAACTGAAATGTAATTGGAACAAATAAAGAAAGAATTAACCCACAAAAGGACTGGAAGCTCGGGTGGCTGAAACATAAGTTACATATATGGGTCTGTGTTTCTGATAGTGTTTGCGCCTGCAGAAAAGGCCTTGAAGGCCCTGAGGGAAAGCCACCGGCATACTGTCTTGGCAGGCAACACAAAACATGCAACAACACAACCTTCAACACATGTTTTTGGAATGTGGAAACCGGAGTACCCGGGGAAAACCCATTCAAGTATGAGGAGAACAGAGAACATACAAACTCCACACAAGAAGGGGCCTGTACCTCTGCACTGTGAGGCAGATGTGCTCACAAGTTGACCACTGTGCCGCCCTCAAATTAAAAACACATAGTTAATAACAAAAAAAAAAAAAAAAAAAAACACGTAATCTTAAAGATGTATAAAATATATGTCCAAATTTCATGTACCCCCTGGAGTGCCTTCACATTCCCCCAGGGGTGTGCGTACCCTCATTTGAGAACCACTGACAAGTGGAGGCGTTTCAGAATCTTGGAGTCTTGTTCACGAGTGAGGGCAGGAGGGAACGAGAGGTCGACAGGTGGATCAGTGCAGAGTCTGCCGTGACGCAGACTTTGTATCAGTCTGTCGTGGTAATGAAGGAGCTGAGCCAAAAGGCGAAGCTCTCAATTTACCGGTCGATCTACGTTCCAACCCTCATCTATGGTCACGAGCTATGGGTCGTGACCAAAAGAACAATGTCCCGGATACAAGCGGTCAAAATGAGTTTTCTCCGCAGGGTGTCTGGGCTCTCCCTAAGAGATAAGATGAGAAGCTCGACCATCCGGGAGGGGCTCAGAGTCGAGTCGTTTCTCCTCCACGTCGAAACATCGAGAGGAGCCAGATGAGGTGGCTCGGGGATTTGGATGCCTCCTGGACGCCTCCCTGGTGAGGTGTTCCGGGCATGTCCCACCGGCAGAAGGCCCCAGGGACGACACAGGACATGCTGGAGAGACTATGTCTCTTCCCCGGGAAGAGCTGGAAGAAGTGGCGGGGAGAGGGAAGTCTGGGCATCTCCGCTAAAGCTGCTGGCCCCGCGACCCGACCTCGGATAAGCAGTAGAAAATGGATGAATGTAATAAATTCATTCATTCATTTTCCGATCCGCTTTATCCTCACAAGGGTCGCAGGGGGGTGCTGGAGCCTATCCCAGCTGTCTTTGGGTAGTAGGCGGGGGACACCCTGAACCGGTTGCCAACCAATCGCAGGGCACACAGAGACGAACAACCATCCACGCTCACACTCACACCTGGGGACAATTTAGAGTGTTCAATCAGCCTGCAATGCATGTTTTTGGAATGTGGGAAGAAACTGGAGAAACCCCACGCAGGCCCGTGGAGAACATGCAAACTCCACACAGGGAGGCCGCAGCTGGGATTGAACCTGGTACCTCTGCACTGTGAGGTCAACACGCTAACCCGGGGGTCGGCAACATGCGGCTCTCGAGCCACATCCGGCTCTTTAGCGCCCCCCAGTGGCTCCCTAGAGCTTTTTCAAAAATGTTTGAAAATGGAAAAAGATGGGAGTTGATTTTTTGATTTTCCAATGCTGTAAAAATGTGTCGAATAAACATTAAATGTCAACATTTCGTCAACGAATATTTGCGTCATAGCCTGCGACACACGTTTCTATTAGCAGGGCGGGATGTCAGTCAGGGGGCTGTTGTGAAAAAAAAAAAAATCAAAACAGCTGCCTTTCATGTACAATTCATCGAGGGTACTTGCTAAGAATGGGAGTATGGGTAGCCAAGAGAAGCATTTTTAAACTGTACATGTGAGCTACGATAGTTAGCACGCTGCGAAAGTGCGTCCCGTGCCTTGTTCATCTTAGCGGCCGTTACGGCTGTTGCTCATTACGACATGCACGTGTGAGTGTGTGGGTATGCGCCCGTGTGCGGTAACGGGTTGATCGCAGGTGGTTGGTTGTTCGAAAAGTTGATCTTCCGTCAAAAAGGTTTGGGCACCCCTCCTCTACAGGATGAACTGCAGGGGGAAAAAAAAACGTTTAATCATGAATGCTCGTTGTGTATTTGTAGCCAACTTAGTCATGTTGATAGCAGGCTAATATAGCTCATATAGATGCAAACAGCATGTGTTGCCTTCATTATAAGGCTTTTTATTTTTTGCGGCTGCAAACATATTTGTTTTTTGTTTATTTTAGTCCAATATGGCTCTTTCAACATTTTGGGTTGTCGCCCCCTGCCTTAAAGCTAACTACCACTTCGCTGAACTTGTGGCGGAATCAAAAAAGTCCCACACCGTGACCGAGCAATTAATACTTCCCGCCTGCGAAGTCATTGTAAACGAGATTCTCGGACCCAAAGCGGCTAAAGAAATAGCTCAATTTCCTCTTTCAGATAATACAATTTCCAGACGTATTGATGATATGTCTGCAGACATCGAAAGTCTGGATTTGGACAAGATCCGTATGAGTAATAAATTTGCGTTGCAAGTTGATGAAGCTACTGATATAAGTGGACATGCTCAACTCTGCTGCACTGTGTGAGATAATAGCTAAACATTTGAAAACTCTTCAGGAGAAGATGTCATTTTATTTCTCTTCAGCCTCGACTGGGTTAAGGACCCATTCAGCTCAGCATCAGCTGTTGGAAAGGACATGACTTTAAAAGAGCAGGAGGAACTAACTGAACTGAGACAAGATTGTGGTCTCAAACTTAGCTTTGCTGATCTACCTTTGGACAGTTTTTGTCCAATAAAGGTATTTTGATATTGCTCCCATTTTCCACAACATACCTATGTGAGGTAAGCTTTTCAAGCCTGACTGTTATAAAAATGAAAAACAGAGAAAGACTGAGAGCTGTGGAGGAAGAGCTCCGTGTGTGTCTTTCATCGATTCCTGCCAGGATATCAGGTTTGTGTTCATCCAAACAGGCCCATTTATCACACTGAGTGACAATAAATATGAAAGATTATAAAATACTTTTTCTTTGTGTTTATTTAAGTCCAATTCAAGTTGTTATAACGTCATTCTTCAATGTTAAAAATGGTTATAGTAACAATATAACACGTTAATTGTTAAAATAAGCTCTTTTTTTTCACATTTTCAGCTAGTGGTGTGCCGCGAGATTTTTTCAATGAAAGAAGTATACCTTGACTTCAAAAAGTTTGAAAAACACTGTTCTATGCTACCAATACCTTAAAATTCAAATGAGTGTCTTAGATCAGGTTTTCTTGTGTGGATATTCTCGAGCTACTCGGTTTTCCACCCACATCCCCCCAAAAAACATGCATGGTAGGTTAGTTGAAGACTCTAAAATGTCTAAAGGTGTGAAAGTGAGTGATAATAGTTCGTTTTCCCGTTTATGATTATTACAGGATTTTTTTCTTCAAATATTGGAACCGAAATGGGCTTTCGCTTTATTTTAAAACAAACGATTGAACACGTGCTGCCCTCATCTGGACAGTTTTATAATTTCAACACTTTCACGCTCCACACTACATACTTGTTTGCATGAATGTCCGGGTATTATTGATCCACTTCTCACATGACATATCTTCTGCATAAAGTGTGTGTGTGTGTGTGTGTGCGTGTGTGTGTGTGTGTGTGTGTGTGTGTGTGTGTGTGTGTATGTGTGTGTGTGTGTGTGTTTGCTTTCAAATTTCAGCTTTCAGGTGCAGTGGTGGTGGTGGCATGTAAAAGAATGTGACTCTTCACGCTTATACTGTGTCATCTGTACTTGCAAACTGGGTGGTTTGGTTCCGACAATCAAGATAGAACACATTGACAAAGCAAATAAATACTGAAACCATTTCTGAAACATGAAATGGTTACTGTTTAACTTTTTACTGAATGCAAAATAGTTTGAAACACCTGCATTACCATTCCAAGAAAAAGTACACATGTTCTGAGAAAACTTGAGCAAAGATCAAGCTTGAATGTGTTTATTTTCAAGACTGTCCTGGATTATGAAGTAATAATACTTGGGTGGGACATCCTTTAGCACACTTGGAAACATTTCAGTAAACTGTGGGCTTTCATCACGACAAGGTTGTGTTTTTTTTTTTCTCCCTTTAGTGTTATAGAACCTTTGGTCCTTTCAGCCACATCCACTCCCTTGCACCACTATCAGTGCAGAATTTGCGTGCTTATGAAAGACTAAGTCTGACATTTGTTTTCATTTTCCTCATGAACTTGCGCCTGGGGTCTGTAAAGCAACAATATTTATCGTGTTGATCATTCATTATAAAACATTTTGATAAGATTACATATAAATTAAGTTAATTAAATCATCCAAATAAGTACGTGTTTAGTTACTACACTGTTTGTTTGTTTCAAATGTAAATTGTGGCATTACATGGTGATCGACTGTTTAGCGCGTCGGCCTCACAGTGCACAGGTGCAGAGCTTCGATTCCAGCTCTGGCCTTCCTGTATGGAGTTTGCATGTTCTCCCCAAGCCTGTGTGGGTTTTCTCCGGGTACTCTGGCTTCCAACCACATTCCAAAAACATGCGTGGTAGGGTAAATGGAACACTCTCAATTGTCCCTAGGTGTGACTGTGAGCGTCAAGGTTGTTGTTTGTCTATGTTTCCAAGGTATTCATTTCTACACCCCGAATTAATCAATCGCAAAACTCTGTATCAGACAATGGCAAGCTGTTTTGTTTTTTAATTGAAAACACAATGAAAAAACAAAAGTTTCTTCATGAACAAGTCAATTGTCGGTCTTGTATAAAACAAGCATCAGAGTTAAGTGGAATTACAATTTGACAGATTACCGGCGTTGTCTAGTCTCAGTGCTAATTAACTTTCAAAGGCTACATTAAACAGCAATCTGGAGATATTCACTGCATTTTTGCTCAATGGCTGATACTACTGATGGAATGCAACATAACATAACATCCAGACTCACTGTAGGCTCGGGGCGTATGCCAACACCCTTGGCAACAATGTGTCATACTTGTCATTCCAACTCTTGAACCCGCCTCCTCCAGATAATTAACTTCTGTGACATGCAGCCAAACACACCTTAAAGTTTCTGAGGTCCCACCTCCAAAGGGAATGTGGAAAACCAACGAAGACCATACTTGCATTCATTCATTGGCGTAGTAACACAAACACTTCATCCCATTTTCATTCAGTCACTTGGCTGTGTTACGATGACCAATGTCTCAAACCCGACGTCACATTTGTGAAGTTTGATTATAAAATATGTATGTCACATACGATGTAGGCGACATGGTGTTTGACTGGTTAGCACATCCGCCTCACAATGCAGAGGTTTGAATCTGGCATTGGCATCTCTGTGTGGAGTTTGCATTTTCTCCCCGTGCCTGTGTAGGTTTTCTCCGGGTACTCCAGTTTCCTCCCACATTCCTAAAACATGCATGGCAGGTTAATGAAACACTCTAAAATCTAAATTGTCCCTAGGTGTGATTGCAAGCACGAATGGTTGTTCGTCCATGTGTGTCCTGCAATTGGCTGGCAACCAGTTCAGGGGGTACCCAACTGACTGCCCAAAGACGGCTCCAGCACGCGCACGATCCTCGTGGGTTAAGCTGATTACAAAATGGATGGATGGACATACAATGTATGTACAAAAACTGGTAAACTATGACTGAACTAAACTATTAAGACTGCACATTTTGTCAGTCACTTGGCTCGATTTTTAAAAAAATGATTTTGTAGAAAAATGTAGACAAGACAAAACTCCTCAC